AAGCAAACATCATTAAATGCAATCTCCCCACAGTCTGGTGAGATTTGAAGTTGGTGAGTTTTGTTAGCTTGATATTCTGAGCTGCGATATCACAGCTTGCAAAATCAAACGCAGTTGTTTGCTTGTTGATTTTTGTCTACGAAAATCAAGCGTGATCTTGGGCGTTTGTGAGATTTGATTTTTTGATATTGTCCCAACACTGAGCCTGCTAGTGTGTGTAGAGACTAATACCCCGTTCACATTACAGCCTATATCATGTAATAAAGGCTGTCTTGCAATGAGCACTCATACATAGGATTTCCAGTGAAAACTAGATGTATGAGTGCTCATTGCAAGAAAGCGTATATCACGTGATATACGCTGTAATGTGAACGGGTATAATGTACTGACGGTGATATACGGAAAGTGCGGTATAGAGTAGACTGTATAGAGTTCGCAACATCCATATTTTTACATCCAATTCAATACAAGCAACACATAATGTACATAGGACCTATTCAAAAAGGACTCTTGAATTACTAATTTTTTGTTTTCTAATATTTCTGTAGAATTATTAGTTTTATTAACACAAATCCAACTAAAACCTGTTCTCCACTCTGTTCTTAGTTTAGCATTTTCGAAGGCTGTAGTTAAACAGCATCATCAATCAATGAAAAATCTGTATACATCAAGTGATTACAATACTCTCCACTTATTAATCGTTTGTTCGTTTGGCTCCACACATTGACAGTTTTTTTGGCTCTGCTGGTTTCATCTTCACCAGTCTGTGTTCTATACCATTTGTACTTTGGCCTAAACCTTCGACCGTGCATAAGCGAATTGTAAGAAGAGTGAGGGGTCGTTGTTTTACTGTGTGAGATCTTTCGAAATATTTCATCAAATCCGTTTAACCGACCAATCAATTAAAAATTGCCCGCAGCACACACTGTTCCGTAATCTGCTAGGACTACCCATCTTGTTCGACCCAAAAATCCATCCACTCAGGCGGCTATCCTTTCACATGCAAATCGCACCCAACGCTTCAGTGTCATTTCATCGCTCAATCACCGAGATTTTATCCGGGCAAATGGGAGCTTATTATTTGGACGAAAATTTGACCAAAAACCGTTGTCCATTTCTCCATTCTAATTTTGTCCCAGATTTGATTTTCTACCCAGCCAGCTTTCCAGCATCATCAAATCGCTCTCTAAACCCTTGCTCTTGGCTTAAGATTCGGATTTCCCATTTGCAGAAAATAGTGGCTGTGCTTTTGGTTGGTCCTCCCGAACAATAAGAAAAGCATAGGAAATTCCATTCTCATTTTGTTTGGTTTGCTTTCTTGGACATTTTTATTTTTCGGTTGCGCTACCCACTACACGGTTTTCCCTTTCCATACACATAGTTTACTTACTGTAACAATGTAGTATGCATAAATTAACATAAGTTTTTCATTTTTAGTCAAGCATTTTTTCGAGATTTTCTTCTTTTATGCAGTGGTGATTTTGGCATTGTTTGTTTTTCTTCTTTTGGTGAATCCTTTGGACGGTGACATTGCCATTGAGCGGACGGCAGGGGTTTGCCCGAGAGAAGCCATTCATATCGTGCACTGCTTAGCGTAGTTTTCTCTTAAATTAATTTTTTCGATTAAATGGAGTAGGGAAATGAGAAAAACGAGCCAATAAGAAGATGTGAGCTGAATTTATCATTGGAAATTTAATTGAATAGTGCCAGCGCACATATTTAGATGAGCCTAAATTGCTTGGCTTGCAGACGGGCGCCATACTATTTCGTATTTTTTTTTGCTTGGCTAAAGGCAAATAAATTCCCGTCAATTTATCCATGGCTCGTGGCTCAACCCACTTTATCAGATTTCTATCAACGACGAGTGACATATTTATTGGGCAACATACTCGCAACATCAGCTCTCCCGGGGATAAATAACCTCACGGGCTAACCTTCACCCAAAAAAATCTATCAAAAGGACAATAATCTTTCAATTGGCAGCAATAAATTCTTGGTCCAATTCTTGCGCGAATGGATGCTCAAGAATGTCCCCTCGAATATCGACCTTTCGTCCGAGGTAGTTTTTTAGTACAGTTCATTTATAACAATAACAATGTTTTCTACCGAGAGGAATTTCTTTCATTTTCGTTCCGTCTCGCTCTCACAGGCCGTTAGTTCGCCCCAGCCACTCACGTTGGAAATGTCCCGAAAATCATAAATCATCGATCGCTGGAAGGCACACCGGATATGGACGCCCGTCGTCCGCACGCCGACCCAAGAATGAAGGAAGGAAGCGTAAAAAGGAAGGAGCAAACTTCGATAAATATTTTCCTGTCTAGGCAGCTTTATTGATATCGCTATCATTAGCTGCTGCCGTCTTTATTTTCCGTAATTTGGTGAACGAGGAGACTTCTTGCCGGATCACACGAGGAGGATAACGACACAAAATGTGTAGGGAGGACAAATACCCGTGGGATGAATTCTCATTCATCGGACAGAAATATGTTATGATTATGATTACTACTTTTTTTCCAGGTGCCTTTGGGTGGTTGGGTTCAGTTCAAGTTGGAAATGAAGATGGTGAGAGAAAATTTTCGGGGACGAAATTTTGCAACCCATGAAGGTTTTTATTTATTTGTTGGAAAAATATGTTCATCTGAATTATTTAGAAATTTATAAATTGAAGCAAAAACATTCCTGGTGACGCTTAGAGATGAATATGATTCTTGCCATATCTGCTTAGTTTGGCTGAATTTATGATTGTTTTGCATTCTTTTGTATTTCTATTTCTTTTTCATGGTTTTAATTCCATATTGTCTATCTTTGTATCGAAATAAATATTGTAACGTTTAAAAAATTGATGATCCTCAATCTAGAGCCAATTAGCATTGGGCGATCTTGAGGCAAGAATCGATCTTAGTGAATATAATCGATTCACCGATTTAATCAATAATTTGGAATCGATCTTTTTAAAATGATCTTTTTGAATCGATTCATTTTCCAAAATGGCACAAAAATGTTCAAAGTGATTTTATGTTACTTCATACGCGAAGTTTGCGATTTTTCAGAGTTGGTTGGAAATGTTATCGAACATGAAGCTTTAGTGTGATAATTTATTAGCTAGAGAATGGTCTTATAAGAAGGTAGGTAGATAGTTCCGTTAGAGTACGGCAGTATGAAAATTTAATAGAAGTTGAAAATGAGCGAAGGGCCATTAATACGAAAGTACAAAGTCAAACGCACACCTTTTGCCTAACCCGTACTATGTACTCGGAGATTTGAAGTATACCTTCAAATCTACAGGCAAAAAATGTGGGCCCGCCTTTGCTCATTACTGTCTGCGGCTGTGGAATTGTTCTAGCGACGTTTCATCACTACCTAAAGCCCCACGTTGTCGAAATCATTTCCAGTCAAATCTCCGCGTTTGACTGTGTACTGTCAAATTAATAGCCCTTCGCTCATTTTCAACTTCTATTCAATTTCCATACTACCGTACTCTAACGGGACTATCTACCTTCGCTCTTCTAAGACCATTCTCAAGCTAATAAATTATCACACTAAAGCTTCATGTTAGATAGCATTCTTTTCCATTTCGCCATGAATATCCCACAGGCCATCGGTTGGTTTTGGTGAGCGAATAGATGTGTGCGATCATCGTATACTCTTTCGGTACCATAGATCTAATCAGACACAATTTTAACTGCCCGACCGTGAGCTGAAGACTCCAGGTACAGGTCAATATTAAATTGCAATCTAAAGGATCGATCCAGTCGATTTTTAGCGTGTTTGAGATCGATTCAAGAAATCGATTAATCGAACCAAAAGAATCGATCTTTTGTGTTTCGATCCAAGATCACCCATTGCTAGTTCCAATCATCGACGGACATCGATTGCCATCCATTAACGGCAATCGTATGTGCAGGAAGGCAGCTTTTGCACACCTGCGTAGGAGTTCGCACCATTCAAACACACATGGGCCGGGGTCAACGTAACATGGGCCGAAGGAAGACGTAACCAGAAATTTTTAACCCTCAGAAAAATCCCACCGACCTCGGCCTGGACTGAACCTAGACCCATTGAAGTGAGAAAGCTGTCACGCGTACTACTACACCACCGGCGCCAGCCATTTGATTTTATCTATATTTCATATGAACTGCTCATGTTTGAAAGAATGAGTCAACTGCAAGCACTGCTCATGTTTAGGATTCAACTCCGTGAGGGCTCATTGGATTTTGAGCAATATGAGTTGTATTGAACATTGGATTTAATCTATCAAAGAGCTGCTCATGTTTGAAAGAAGGAGTCAAATCCAAGAGAGGGAAACATATTTTAACGGTTAAGATCGATTGCTAAAGATACACAAATAGTTTTCCCTTTAATGATTTAGAGTTTCAATCCTTTTTTCCTTTTGACCTTTGGTCTCTTCGACCATTTTTCCCTTTGATATGAGAGACAAGAGACAAAACTCTTAGACCTCTTTTTCTTTAGACCTTTTGTCCCTTCGACCTTTTGTTCCTTCGACCTTTTGTTCCTTCGGCCTTTTGTTCTTTCGACCTGTTCGCAACGTTAGGGATTCTTGAAGCAAAGTCCTTTTATGGTTCAAGACAGGCTCAAGCTGTAAATTTTATTGATTAATTAACCAGCTTGAATAGTTCAACAAATTCGTACTTACAATTTAGTGCCCAAACAATTCTAGGTGCGAACAATATACGGATCTTTAAGATCTAGTTTTAATCTGTAGGTTTAGTCTGTAAATTCAATAGTTTTAAGGTATTTCATAGGAACAAATTAGTAAATAATCTTACGAAATTCGGCTAAGGGTAATTCTTTCTCTCCTCACTCGAGTATTTCACTTCACATACAATATCAACAAATTTCAATCAGACAATAGACAATAGACCTATGTATACTCCCTACATCTGACGTTCGTTCGTTGTACCGGTTGGGTCATCCTTTTAGCTCACTTGTCCGAGGGGCTTGCACACAACATCCTCCCCCTCATGTCGCCTCAGCTTCCGCTAGGCGTCATCTCCCGGTTCCACATCCAGTAGTGCAAGCTTGACGACAGGCCTTCGTAGTATGCCACCCGAAGTCATCACCTCAGCTTGTCGCACTGTCCCATCCTTACCAGGATACGTACGCACCACCCGACCTCTCAACCACCTATTCCTGACCTTCTCATCCGCTATGACTACCAACTCACCCTCTTTAATCGGCCTGACATTTTGGAACCACTTAGTCCTCCTGGTTATCGTCGGCAGGTACTCGGTGATCCACCTTCGCCAGATGTTGTCCAGCGTGTACTGCATCATATTCCAACTGCTTCTTAGCGACTCTCCTTCACTAACCGGGGCCTTAATCGGTTGCTGAACCCCAGTTGAGCTTAATATCAGGAAATGATTTGGAGTTATCGCTTCCTGGTCTGAAGTCTCCAGAGCAACGAAAGTCAACGGCCGCGAGTTTATCATCTTCTCAGCTTCAGCGAAGAGTGTTGCCAGCGATTCGTCATCCAGCTTACGCTCCGAAGGAATCGCTCCAAGAGCCGATTTAATGGACCGGACCATCCGTTCCCAGCAACCTCCCATATGTGGCGCTGAGGGTGGGTTGAACCTCCACTGCGTATAAGTGTCCGTGAACGTGCTACTCAACTCCGCATTGATCTCCTTCGTTTCCTTTTCCAACTCCCGGCTGACTCCAACAAAATTTGTACCGTTATCGGAGTAAATCTCTTGCGGCGCTCCACGTCGAGCGATGAATCTACGCAATGCCTTTTTGCATGAATCGGTTGTCAGGCTACTTGCTACCTCGATGTGTATGGCTCTTATTGTCAAGCACGTGAATACCACTCCCCAACGTTTAGCCACGCTCCGTCCAACCTTGACTAAGTACGGCCCGAAATAATGGACTCCGACGAAAGTGAAAGCGCGGACATGTGTCGTCAATCTCACGGTTGGTAGTGGTCCCATCTTCGGCGTCACTGGAACCGACTTGTACACTCGACACCACGTACATCGAGTCTTCGTCATTCGTACGCATGTTCTCAACTTGCCTACGTAGAACCTTTGGCGAACTTCGTTTACCACCGTCTCATCATTAGCATGGCGAAATTCTCGGTGATACCAATCCAGCAGGAGCTCCGTCACGCGATGTTCTCGTGGTAGTATGATTGGGTATCTTGCGTTGAGCGACAAATACTCCGCCGCACCGATCCGACTGTCTACACGAAGGACTCCGTTCTCATCCATCATCGGCGGCAACTTTGCAATCTTACTCGAACACTCCAATCGCTTTTCTTCGTTTCCCGGATCCATGTTACGCTTCATCGTTGTCACTTCATCCGGATATGCATCCGATTGTACCAGCTTCCACAAAGTCATTTCCGCTTTCTGTAACTCATCTCTGTTTAGCTCTACAGCTGTTTCTCGAGTAGTTCCCTTGGAAGCTCGACGAAGATTGTCGATGAATCGATGAACATACGCAACGCTCCGCTTCAAACGCTCGAACTTGGAGAAGCGTTTAAATTCGACTGTTGGCTTGACGATGAAATGCGGACAGACGAATGCTGGTCGAAGTTCTTCGTTTGTATCTTCCACGTTTTCTTCTAACCATTCACCGTCTCGGTCGTACAGGAATGCAGGTCAACGATACCAGCGGCTTTCGATTTCGGTTGATGGCCCTTTGCCTCACTTTGTTGCTTTGTCAGCAACGTTGGTTTTCGTTCCGATCCAGTTCCATTCATCCACCGCAGACAAACTCAGGATTTCGTTGACTCTAAAGGCGACAAATTGGCGGTAGCGACGTGAGTCCGACTTAATCCAAGCGACTACCGTTGTAGAATCACTCCAGAAAAAGGTGCGTGCTATCTTCACGGAATGATGATCTACGATGGTTTGCCTCAGACGAGCTCCTATTAAGGCCGCCATAAGCTCTAGTCGTGGCATCAAAAGTGTTTGCAGGGGCGCTACTTTGGTCTTCGATGAGACAAGGGTGCATCGAACCTCTCCCCTGTCGACGATTCGGAAGTATGCGACCGCAGCGAAGGCCTGTTTGCTCGCATCGACGAAAATGTGTAGCTGGAGCGAATCGTAGCTGGCAGGATCGTATCCCGGAAAAGAGCAACGGCTGATCTTCACCTTGGTCATCTCTCTTAGTACCTTCAACCATTGATTCCAGCGACAGAATATCTCCGATGGAATCTTTTCGTCTCAGCCAAGGTTTTCCCTCCACGTATCTTGAACAAGCACTTTCCCATGGATGACGAAAGCAGCAACCAATCCAAGGGGATCGTAGAGACTCATCACCACACTCAGCAACTCACGTTTACTCGGAACAACTTCACCGTCTATTAGTTGTCGAAGCTCTTCACGTAAGCACAAATCGAAGCAGAATACGTCATCTTCTGGTGACCAAATCATTCCCAGCAACCGCTCGAACTTGCAATCCTTACCCGCTGCAAATCTCTTAACTGCAGCTGGATTGTCTTCTCCGATTCGCTCGAGAACTTCCGCTCGGTTTGACGTCCAGTTTATGATGAAGAAATCAGCTTTCCCATGTACCGTCGTAACTTCTGTGGCTAGTTGAACCGCTTCCTCGATGGTGTATACACTGTCAAGGTAGTCGTCGACGTAATGTTTCTTTTTAATCGCCGACGCCGCTCTCGGATACATTCCCTCGTATTCTGTGGCATTGAGATTCTTTACGAACTGTGACTGAACTGGTGAGCAAGTCGCCCCGAATATGGCCACGTCAGTAACCATAACCTTGATGGGAAGATTTGGAGAATCTCTCCACAGGAACAGCAGAGCACTGCGGTCAGCGGAACTGATGAGAATCTGGAGGAACATCTCCATGATATCAGCCGATATTGCTACTTCGCGCTCGCGGAACTGAAACAGAACAGCCATCAACGAAGTCAGAAGATTAGGGCCTTTCAATAGCTGGTCATTCAGTGAAATGACGTCGACCTTTGCCGCCGCATCCCAGATGACACGAACCTTGCCGGGTTTGTTGGGATTAATCACAATACCGAGAGGCAAATACCATGTACGCCGCAGATCGAAGTTCCTCAAATCTTCCGTGGTCGCTTCATGCACATATCCCTTGAACTGAAATTCAGAAATCTGCTTGCGAACCGTTGCGTACAATTCTGGATCCTTTTGCAGCCGGGTCTCCAGACATTTCAAACGCTTTTCCGCCATGGGCCAACTGTCAGGCAACTCGATATAGTCGTGTTTCCACAACAACCCCGTTTCAAATTTCCCACTCTCAGTCCTCGTTGTAGTCTCGTCCAAAATCTTTCGTGCTCGCTCCTTCGACACCTTAGATGTTTGGTACCACTGCAATCCCGAGGCTTTCCAGCGTGAAGAACTCTCGGACACATTCGTGTAGATCAGCGGTGGCAGCATGAGCGCAAATATGCATCTGCCGATGTTGCAGTTGATCTCCCCCTCGTATGCTTCCGTATACAGCCCAGCCAATACGCGTCTTCGATGCTATCGGTTCTTATGCACGACCTTCTCGCAGCTTCAGTGTAGCAAGCAGATGCGAATTGTTGAGCCCAATCAGTATTCCAGGAGCAGCTGACTTGAAACTCTGCACAGGCAATTTCCTGAGGTGTTTGAACTGGTTTGCCACCTCGTCGAAGTTCAGGGATTGTTCTGGTAGTCCTAGACCATCCACTGTGAAGGCTCCTTCGAGTTTGAAACACTTGTTGCTGCCCTGTGCAGAAATCTCCATCTGTACTACTCTTGCGTCCGATATCCTCTTTTTCATGCCGCTAGTCCAGTGGATGCAAAGCTGCTCCGTTGGTCCGTCCAGACCTAGAGAATCAGCCAGGGTGCGTTCCACCAAAGTCACTGAGGACCCGTCGTCAAGAAAGGCGAAGGTGTTGACTTCACCATATTTCCCGTAAAGCGTGACAGGAAGTACTCGGAATAGTGTGAGTGGCGCTGACGTCTGGTGGATTGTTACCGTAGCATTCGTCATCTGTTCGGTTGCCCTTGAATCCGCCGATGGCTCGTAGTGCAGCAGGCGATGATGTAACTTCTGGCAACCGTTGACTCCGCAGGCGTCCCCTTTACACGGCCAACGAAGATGTGGCTTCAAACATCGTCGACAAAGTTTGTGCTCCTTCACAATGCTCCAACGATTGTCGAGAGTAAGCCCCTTGAACTTAGAGCACTCATCAGCCTGATGATCTCCCGCATTGCACGCTGGACATTTCTTGAGTTCCTCCGTTTTCTTGCCGCTCGCGCTCAAAAACCGCTCCTTTCCCGCATTCCTATTACCATTGGTCACCTATGTCGATCCATCTCGCTCCGTAGTGGTGTGCGCATTCACGTAGGCCTTTTCCTTTGCTCTGGTACGGTCATCCTTCGGATGCTTCTGCTGAATACAAGATAGCGTTACGCTGCTGGTTGCAGATGTCACACGGGCCATGTACTCGCTGAAGATGTTGAGGTCTACCATCGGAAACTGCTGCTGATACATCGCCCAGTTGAACTTAACGTTCGCTGGCAACTTGTCGACAAGCTCCTGTAGCAATGTGGGATTCGATAGATGCCAGTCCAGTCCAACCGCCTTCAGATGTCCGCACAAATTCTGCAGTTCATGGGCTAAACAAACGGAAAGTGAGCTGCAACATAAGCCATGTCGCATACGACGATAGTCGTGACAAATTCTCTCTGTGATACAACATGATCGGAATGATTGAATGACACAACAAAATTTTACCCATTGCTTCACGGATATCATCAACCGTATACAGCGAGTCACAGTAAAAATCGTTCATCATTTTTTGCTAAGCAAGAACATGAGCATGATTGACCGCCTCCGGTACTGCTCCGTTATTGCCAGATCGCTGTGTAATTGCACAGCGATCCGACAGATAGTTCTTGAGACTAGCTACACCCAACCGAACAATGTTAGATTATATTACAAGTTAGCATGAATATTATGCAGAGCTTGCAATGTTTCGCGACATTAACAGATTGTAGTCGCCAGAAGGATTTTAAAATAAATTTGTAATTTTTATGATTATGCATTGCGTCTAGAAAATCTTGTACGTTGTAGTCCATTGCAGGAACTGCCATGTTGTATGAAACATATGCAAAGGATGTAATAAATCCAACCTTACATTTGATGTTAGCGATTTTTTTGCGTCTATCATCCCTAATGTGTATGTTCGGGAGCAGCGTGAATACCACCCACCCAAGGATACAACCCTGGGTAGACAAACTCTCTACTCTCTGCGACGGACACCAAGAGAAGATACACATCATCGATCGGTTTGGATAGATCGGTGGCGTCATGGATTCATGATTACGGGTAATCGGGTAGATCCTACATCTACAAAATTAGATATATAGTTGCAATCTGCATGGTATGGTAAACGGATCCAAGGGCCTTACTTGGGCGCTAATATCAAAGGTTTTTTTTTTTATAAATGTAAATACGTTGTGCGTTAAATAAAGTAGTTTTATTGTAAAGTGTCAGTGTAATGTAAAACCCGTGTTTTTTGTAACCAACGATGGCCGAAACATTCCCGAAAGACACCATGAAGGACAGGATATTGGACCCCATTTTCACCGGGCAATATATGTCAGCCAGAGGCTTTTACCCCCCTTTCGATGTTGTGGGTTGGATGGAAAAGGCCCCAACATTATGGTCCTTCGAGCCGGATCGCCTCTGGAAGGACATTGGAAGGACGGTCAAAAGGTCTGACTATAGCGCTATCGGATTTGGAATGGCGCTCAACGGCCACTATTCATCTCGGGAATAATGCACCAAAACGCCATCATATCACCGAAAAATATGAAGGTTTCGCGCCATCGCGATCCCTAACAATTGCTTAAACAAAACCATCATTCACAACTTCACATCGGGACTGGAGCTACCTGAATATCCATCGCAACAAGGTGCAATCTATGCAAACCGCACTCTTCGCAACTCACAGGAACATGTGGAAACCTCATAATAATTCGAATATGGATTCTGGCATCTGCATTATTGGATTGAACTATGGAACATCAAATCATTGGCATCATTGGATGAACGAAATCTACCTCACTTCACATGATAGCTGCATGGACGTTGAATACTGAACCAGTGAAATCTCCTGGTTTCACAGGTAAATAAATAAAGTGCAATGTATGTGTCCCGCCGAAGCGGATCAATATTTCGTTCTAACACTCATCTTTTGACGTCTGGTCACATGCACTTACACTGGAGCTTGTCAACACTGGACACCAAGTTTTGGAATGGTCATCACTTTAACTAAAGTTTGTGAACGGGAATCACTTATGGACTTCTGGAATCACCTCGGTTTACGAATTCTGACGGATTTTGTAAACATCCCAACTACTAACACAACGATCGC